ACAATTTATTAAAGATCTACTTTGTATTTAGTTTTATGTAATTCCTGTTTCAAGGTAGCAGCTTTTGGTAAAACGTAGTTGTACCTCTGTGTACATCAAGTATGTTTTTCTTGCTTTTCTCTTTTTTTTTGCTAAGTCTGAATCAAAGGTAAAGTATTATACTTGTACTGGAAACTCAAATAAAACCTCCACTTATGAATCACATTTCTTTATCTAAGTGTGGAAAAACTTAATACTTGCCATTTTTGTCTTCCCGGGGAACCTCTTTCTGTAAAGTATCATCAGCTCACAAGGAGTCCACTCAGCCTCTAAGAGAGAGTGAATACAGTTATCTGGGGAGTTTTATATATGAATTGCATGAAAACAAGAAGATTAGGATTCATACCAACAACAGTCTTTTCTTGATTCCACCGCTCAGTTGTTCTGCAATGTGCAGCAAATGTATTCAACTCATTTGCTCTTTTGTAAAAAATGAATTAGAATATGGAACAACATAACCAGGCAAAACAAGTATCAGTCTTCACAAGTTTATATGGCACCCTCAAATGCAAGCAGTCAGATAAGAATTTTATAATTTATTTTTATTATTGTTTGATAAGCCTTTTGAGTCAATGACATGAATGAAAGCAGAAGCAGTTTGGAGAACTTGTAGAGCATGAATAGAGGAACACCTGCAGTGTCTCAGAAAGTGCCTCTCTAGCTATTCAGCTGCAAAGATAAAGGTTGCACTCCTACCTGTGTGTTCTTGCTGGCAAATTTTGCTGTAAGAATAGTGATACTACTAGCAGAGCTGTCTGCTCCTGCTGATGAACACACCAAGCACAGATGACAGCATTGTGGCTTTCCTGACTGAAGCCCCTATCTCACAGGGCATCCACTCCAGCTGCCATGAGAAATCTTGGAGGTAGGAGTCAGTGGGATACCAGACTGAGTGATGATTCTTCCAGACATGGCTTTATATTCTTTGAGGAATCTTGTGTGTTGGCACAACAGAAAGAGGACTTTCCTTTCAGTTTTTTTCTCCTTTCTTTTAAAAGACTAGTTTCAGGGAGAAGATGAGAAACTGAAGATACTAAAACCTTACTTTTTACCATTACTCAATAGCTAAGAGCAAAATGAAATCCTGTGTGGGTTTTTTCAGCTTACATTTTTTGGAACTACATCATCTTGTAATAAACTTTCTCTTGCAAGTGAAGGAGAAAGAAAGCAAAGCATGATGTCAGAAGCATGTTCACCCATTGCAACATCTATACTTTCTTCTACCCTGTTCAGGCATTCCAACCCTTCCCAGTATGTAGCTGCACTGCTTTCAAATCCATAGGGCTGTTGGAGATAACTACATTAACCATGCAACTGAAACAGGAATTTCATTTGGAGTTACATGTACCACTGTGATCATTAAAAGGGACTCTGAGAGCTGAATTCTGAGCTGTGACATAAAAGATATATTTGTTGTAAGGAAAAATGCTGTTCACCTAAGTTTTGTGAGCAGTAGGGCCTGATTTATATTCCTCCTGGAGCAGAGTTTGCCTAATGAAGGTGAAGGGTGCTGGGTGGTGTCAGGAAGTAGTAGATTTTATCATGCCTGTTTTAGCCTGGGTGCTGCCTGGTAAGTAGCAGGATTTCTCCTATCTGTCTTGTGGCACAAATCATAATCCCTTGCCCAGGCATGCCCATGCAGAATGCAGAAATATCAGTATCCCTCTGCCTAGGCAGGCTCATTTAGCTTAAGTCTTGCATCTTTTTTATGTTCTTCAAGGCCTCAAACAAAATTATGACCATGGTACTTGAACCCAGCAATATCAGAAAACACAGCTACAGCTTGATTTAGATTCTGTATTTTCTCATAGTATCTGAGTACTAATATGAGTATTAACAGTTTTAACCTTACAAAATATATGACCTTTGGAAGTATTAGCTGCATTTACCAACTGAGAAAACAGGCACAGCAAGATCAAACAGCTTGCTTAAGGTCACCCAGAAACTGTGGGAATGAAAACCAGTTTCCTTCATATAGACCTCAACCACAAGGCAGTCCTCCCTCTCTTGTGGCTGTTCTAAGATTTTTCAGGATGTTGTCTGAGTTGTTGTGCAACTGATTAATCTGTCTGGCTAACTATGTCCAGTGCCACATGTTAGTCCAGAAATGTCAGCAGAATGATTTTGCTTCTGACATCTAAAAGGCTCTGATGGATTCTTTCTCCCACCCTACTGAAGTGATTTAGGTCCTCTTGAGATCATATACCTCAGTGAAGCAAATCACAGGACTAGTGACTGCTGCTTTGTACTGAATAATTTCTACTGGTATGGATTTCCTAACACTCATTTTTCCCAGCTGCACACAGGGAAGATAATTTTAAGGATAGTACATCCAGCTATCTCAAGCTCCCATTCTCCCTCCAAGAGAGAAGTGTCATGTCTTCTTTGGTCTTCTGCATTTTGTACAATATGGCTGCTCAGGTCCATGAAGAAACCAGAAAAATGTTTGAATGTTTCCCTCCCTCAGCCAGATCCTGTGCCCACCATGCACTATATGATTACTCCAAGTTTGTCACAAAATTTCTAAGGGGAAATACACTTCTTTGATGATGTGTTTAATAAGATGTTCTTGCCTATTAAGATGCCTTCAAAAGGAAGCATGCACCCCATTTTGGCAAAAATGCTTGGCAGTGCAGGAGCCAATAATGTTTATAAATGCTAAAATGCTGAGGACCCTAAAATTCTTACACAGCGTTCCTTGTAAGTCAGTCACAGCTATATTGGTTCAGGCCAAAAGTGGATCTTTAAGATTAAGAATAGAGTAAGGATAAAGTGATACTTCCCGAATTTGGACTAGCTGCAGCTTGGACACTTTCTGAGTCAGGGGCCATTTTAAAACATTTGTTAATCCTCAATAGTTTTGTACAGCACAGATTTATCTAATATTTCCATGTGAACTTCAGTATCCACAGTCTTATGTGGCAGGAAGCTCCAAAGTTTCACAGTGTACAGGTAGTCCTCAGATGTCCAGTACCATACCTCATACTGGTTCCCTGATTTACTCCTCAGAGACCAGAGTAACACCAAGTTTCATGCTGAATACCATTTCCGAGATCACACACATCTTTTTACACAGGGAGAAGACCAGTTGCACTGGAATTACTGAGATAATATTGTAATGGTTCTGAATTAGAGATTTGCTTACAACAGGAAGAATTTTTAAGTTTATACATTCCCATGTTAAAGTTGCAAATTCACATGGGATTTTCAGTGACAAAGCACAAACAATAAAAAACAGGTTTGCAGTATTCCTGGAACTTATGCAATGATTAAAAAATGGAAAGTGTCAAGATTGATAGAATCCCATAGTGAATACCTTCAATGGGAATTCTTTTGGTTTTAAATGTCATTTTTGTATTTGCCAAATGGGAGGTGAAGTATTTCTCTGAGAGGCTGCCATTTCAGGAGTGGAAAGTCCACTAGGTTCAGACTTCCAGATAAGTGAAGTAGCTTCCATTTATTTCCATTTATGTGGATACCTAGAATACTGAAACAGGCTGATTTCCTGTTCTTTTCAGCTTGGGAATATTTTCTTTTTTTCTATAACATCTTCTGTTGCACTAGTAATACCACTCATAGAAGCAACTTAGCAAATATAATAGTGATTAATCTATACACACAAAATTATGACAAGAGGCTGATGGGTACAAACAATTGCCTTGATGGCTTTACAATTCATTAAATTGATGGCTATACTCAGAGAATGTTAGGAAGTGTGGTAACCTATGAGGCATTTTATTTTCTGTTTACTATTATATATTGGTTTGAAAAATGCTGGGATAGGGTTCTTGAAGTTACTAGAAAGGGTAGGATCCCCGGCCTGTGTTTGAAAATTTGCATATCTGCATCTTTTCCCATAGTCTTCTCTCTTATGTTCACATATGCATGCTTCTTTTTCTTTTTCCTGCACTCCATACCTGAATATTTTTCCTTTCTTTTTGTTTTCTTTTGTTTTGCTTTCTTCACTCAGTCTTCTGTCTCCTGGGGCATCAGTTCCTCAGGTAATATTTTCAGTCAAACTGCTGTAATGCATATTGTATTTTAATTTGGTAATTAATCTCTGTAAGCCATTCCTAGAATACTTTAATTCATTTCTTTAACAATGAGCCTTCTACCAATTTGCAGATCTGTTAAAAATCCTCATCACCATCACTACCGCTGCAGGAAAAAAAAATCAAAAGCCAACACAAAGCCCAGAGAAGATCTGAGAATTAAAAAAGATGCAGGCTGAAGACAGCAATCCACCAGATGGTGGCTACGGATGGGTTGTGGTAGTGTCAGCCTTCATGGTGATGGGCCTCACTGTTGCCGTTCTCAAGACTTTTGGTCTGTTCTTTGTTGAAATCCAGCAGCACTTTGATGGACTTGCAAGCACCACTTCCTGGATCACATCAGTAACTATTGCCATCTTTCATTTAGGAGGTAGGTAGAAGTGCTCCTCTAGCATTTCATTTTAATGTATTAACTACTAACACAAGTTTGAAAAGCTTCCTTAAGAAAAACCCAAATCAAAAATATTTAAGGACAAGACTTTCTTCTTCTGTCTCTACAGAAAATACAGAAAATTTTCTTACAGAAAATTAGCATTTGCTGCCTCAGATATGGAATTGGTTAATAATGACACTCTAGATACACAGGAATCTGATTGCCATAAAGAACTTCATGTTCCTGAACTCATGATTCAGTTTTGCTACAGGCTTTGAGTTAAACTCATTGGAAATAATTCTAATAACTACAGAACTTGTTGAATCAAGCTCTTAAACCAGTTTGTGCAAGTTCACTGATGTCAGAGTGACTGTCACTTTTTCAAAGTACTTTTAAACTTAAGGACTGTAACCCTGTCTATCAGATAAACCATCTGCTACCCAAATGATGATTCTCAGTCTTGCCTTCTCACGCTCCTCCTTGCTGTCTTTGCCAAGATCCCCCTTCTTTGCATGTATTGCCAGATCTGGCTCTCCTTTAACCCCTTTAGAATGATTGCAAGTCATTTATCTAACAGAAAACTCACAGAGTTAAAAAGAAAAAAAAAATCAGTTCACTCAGAGCACAAGAAAGATAAGATCATGCAAGCAGAGCGTAGGGGAAGAGAGAGTGAACTATCCCAGTCAAAGGCAATGAGCTATGGAAGCAGGCCAAATACCATATCTCACCAAATGAAGGAGGAAAATAGAAAACATACTGCATTCGACTCAGCTTGGTTGTTAAGAGAGTCCTTTGCGCCCTTGTAAACTGCATGATCCTTCACATGATGATGATGATTCTAAACATGTGCAGGCTTGAAATGTACAGAATTTGTGAAGTCTGCTCTGCATATTCTCATACAGATATGGTTGTAATAGGTAAATATCCTTACGTAATAAATGCTATCATAATTTTGTTTGTGAAGACATTTCATTGCATAGACACTATATAATTATATGCATCCTACTCATTCCACACCTATCAGTATTACCGCTTGGAATTGCAGTACTTCCAAACATCATGAACAACTGATCTTTCTTTAAAACATGTATTCAGAAGAATCAAAGAATAATCCAAAGTCAAAGGATAAAGCAAGTGATGAGTTGCAAAGATTTTATGAGTTCCATAAACTACTATCCTTGCTGCCTGTTTTGCAGTGACAGAAATAATTAATTGAAAAAAATAATTGAAAAACTTGCTTCACAGACCACAGAAACGAATAAATCTATCAATCTGGTTTACAAATTAGACTTATCACATACCTACTGTGACACTATTTTGTCATTCAGGCATACAAACTTAATGAGAAAAAAAAAACAAAGTAAGAGGATAAAAGAACTCAAAGTCCTGTTTTAGTTAGGTTTTGGTTTGGTTTTAACACATATTTACATTATATAGGAATGTATCAAGGAATAGAGCATATTAATAATATCAAATTTAAACCAGCAAAACTGTATTTGCCTAGCCAGGTCTGAGACCAGCCTAGTTCCAAGAAGGCAGCTATAATTTTCAGCAGAAATTGTTTTTCATCCTTTGAGATGAAAACAACCCTCTTTCAGTGAATACAGCTTGATGACCAAATGTTCCAAAACCCCTCTGTATAGCAGTTTATAATGTTTCAGGTCATTATGTAATTGTCCTCATCTTCTCCTGCCTTTGCTTCATTTACAGGGACCAGAAGACTTTCTGCTTAAGATCATCTGAACCTCCAGTTCTTTGAGCATCTTTCCGGGCCTGGCTTAGTCTTTCTTATCGTGTTCTTCTGGGAAACCTTCAGTGTCATTTGGTTCAGTATGAAGGATGATCACTGAATTATTATTTTGTCCTGTCTGGATCCTTCCAACATCAGCTCTGTTCTTGTATGGAAGGAGAGCATGTGCTTCTACTCCCAGGGTTTGCACTTGCAACAGGCTGTTCAGTTTACCAGAGCAAGGGTTCTCCCCATCACATTCACAGGCTTTCTCTTGGTACTGATGTACACGTCCCATCACCTTTCTCTTTGCACTGTGATTATAATCCCTTTTCATTTCTTGTAAGTTTTCTGTGTGTTACTCTTTACCCTTTCAGACTGTGGAATCTAGCTATTTTTCCCATTTCTAGTTCTGTGGTTAGCTTCTTTCCTTCTCCTTCTACCCCATGTTCAATTTCTGCCTATCCTCCTTTTTCACTATTTAAAAATTGGATTTTGGTAGTATTTCTGCTCCAACTGCAGATCTCTCTCTTGTCTTAAAGTACTTTCATGGAAGTTATCTTAAGTCTACTTTTCTCTCTCTTTTTTTTTTTCTCATCATAATGTATGATTCTCCAACTGTATCTGCTTTATCATGTCTCATCCACTACATATTAGAGACCATGACTGAATTTTGGTATAATTTTTACATGTTTATAAAATCATCATATTTTTGCTGTAAATTCTGATGAGACATCTGGGGTTTGTATAACTTCTGCCAGGTCTGTCTGCCAGCAGACAATGTACATCCTGCACATTTTGCAGCCATTATACTCTACCAGATTTATTTCACTCATCCTAGCTACCAAAATCTCTTAATTCTGATCCTAATACAAGTGAACCTAGAACAGCCTGCCCCTACAAACTACTATGAAACCTTCCTTACTGACTGCCCTCTCTTCATTGTCTTCCTACTTATTTCAGCTTACAAGCATGGTCCTCATTAACTGAATTCCAGTTCCCAGAACATTAATGTATTGAAGGGAGCCGACCGATGCCAGGTGGTACTTGGGAGTCCCCTAGTGGCCAAGGCTATTTAAAGAAGTCTTACGGCCTTGACCTCATCTCTGTGATGCTGATGGAAAAACAGGGAGGCAATATTACTGATCCTTAATTAAACAAAAATATCCCTGACATTTCAGGTGCTTCTAGATAGTGAATAGAGATAAAGAAGTTGCTGCCCTGTCAGATCTGTACTTACTGCATTTTTTCCCTCATGCTGAACAGTCCCTGCACTCTGCTGAAACTGTACTCCTAAAATAAAGATTTAAGAAATGAACTGCAAATTTTCTGTAAAAAGCATAACCACAAAATAAACACTGATTTTTTGTCCTTCGTAAACTTTTGTAATTCCTTAAAGATATGATTTTGCAAAACTAGCAAAGGTTATTTTCCTCCAGAAAGTTTCCGTGCCAACCATATCAATAACACAGTCTCAATAATAAAATTGAGGTTTCACTTCCTGCTAAAATTGTACACTAGTTTCTGTCACGTTGCTAGTTGTATATCCTTATATGAAATTCAGTAGAACTGTCCTGCAAGGAAGGCACTGAAATGCTCTTTCCCTTTAAAAAAGATTACATATTTTGAATATATTTAAAAATCTGAGCACCAGGGACAGTCATTTCCCTGTCAGTAAGGATCCAAGTTTGAAATTGCAACTGATGTTCTGCTCCATCCAGAAGAATTAAGTCTGCTTGAGACAAGAGTTATAAGGGTACTTTATTTGATTTATTTGATTATTTGGTCATGTCAATCAGCTTAATGTTCCTAATGTATTTTTCTTTCTCCAATTTTGCTACTGATCCAGCCCCTGTTGCCAGTTCATTATGTGCACGATACACCCATCGGGCAGTTGTGATCACTGGAGGACTCCTGGCTTTTTCAGGAATGGCACTGGGATTTTTTGGATTCAACATGGTCTGGATGTATGTAACGACTGGCTTCCTACAAGGTATGACTTTATGGTTCTCTTCCAGCAGCAACTCAGAGCCCTTATCTGAGGGTGCTAGTGGTAGGAGTTTTGAAATCTGATGTATATTTCGATTTCATGAGCAGCTAGAACCAACAGTGCCCTTAAAAGGTGTCTTCCCTCCTTTCCCACTCTGGAAATAAGAATTTGTGCAGGAAACCTGCAATGACAAAGAAGGTAGATAATTAGATGCTAGTAATTTGCACCTGCAAATTATATACAAGCAGAAAATGAAAAGTGTTTTGTTTTTCACTTGGAGACAAGAGCCTTGTGAAGGTTTAAAGAACCTTCATAAAGAGTACTGGAGTACAAGGACACAAAGATCCCAAATTTTGTTCTTTCTATAACATTATCTTATGTTTTGAACAGAGGCCCAGACTTTCACTTGATTTCAATCCTTTCCTTTAGTCCAGTGAAAACAGGCCAGAAAGTTGCTTCCAACAATTAGCAGATTTTCCTGGAACAGGAAGCAAAGCTGGCAGGGAATAAAATAAACCATTTCAAATTCCATGCCGGATGCCTGGGAGAATGTCTGGAATTTGAGCCCTTTGGCAGTCCTGGGCTGCCAAATAATCTAGGGAGCCATTAAAATCACTCTAAGTTAGAGCAGGTTTGAAGTCTGCTCAAAGAAGTCAGGCAAGAAAATGAAGAGCAGATAGAGGTAATACACCAACTTTCTTCATGTCCTGCCTCACTTGCTACCCTGAGCACAGTTCAGCACAGCTCAGCTTAACTCATCTAGTACCAGCCTTAATTCAGACAGCATAGACACTCAGATCTATCTAGCTTCAACCACATGACCATGTGATTTCTCACGCAGTGCCAAAGCTGTCAAACCAACTTCTTTTATTTATTTATTTATTTATTCATTTATTTATTTATTATAAGTAAGAACTTCATGATCCTACTTTTTTGCTTGAATATATATGACTTACTCTTACAGAATATGTGACAAATTTACTCCTACAGGTAGTGCAGCTAAGCTCATGCTGCTGCTAGGAACAAAAATGTTTTCCTTCTACACTTTTTAACTTTGCAAATAGAGGAGCACTGACTGCTTTAGTTTCCTTCACAAAATACTCAATAGTGTCTAACCTGTGGTATTTCTATTGTTTTTCAGGTCTTGGGATTTCCTTTTCATGGACACCAGCCATTAGCATTGTTAGCCATTATTTCTCCAAGAAAAGGGCTTTGGCCAATGCTATAGCCAGCGCTGGAGAATGTGCCTTTGCATTCACATTTGGGCCATTTTTTCAGTGGTTGATTAGTCAATATGGATGGAAAGGTGCCCTCTTGATCATAGGTGGCATCCAACTCAATATTTGTATCGGTGGAGCACTGATGCGACCCCTGGCAAGCAGCTGCCCCCTTGAGGCTCACCATTCTGAAACTCAAACACCACCTGGCAAGAGTGCATCCAGGATAGACAAAGAAGATAAGTCTCCTATCACACACAAAACCTTCAATTGGATGCTTCTGAAGCGACCAGAGTTTGTACTTTATGCCATTTTTGGCATATTAGCTGCTATGAGTTTTTTTGTTCCTCCATTATTTTTAGTTCCATTTAGCTACAGCCTGGGAATAGATGAATCATGGACTGCATCACTCCTATCCATTTTGGCTATGGTGGACTTTGCAGGCAGACTGCTGTGTGGCTGGTATGCCAATCTCCATGTTACCAAAACCATTCATTTGCTGGTGATGACAATTACACTGATCAGTACTTCCCTGATGCTGTTGCCACTGGCTAACAATTATGTTTCCTTGGCAATATTCACTGGCTTCTATGGATTCTTCTTTGGTACGACAGTCGCCATTCACATTACAGTGCTGGCAGATGTTGTAGGCATGCCAGAATTTGACAGTGCTTTAGGGCTTTTCATGCTCATTCGAAGCTCTGGAGGTTTCGTGGGGCCCCCTCTTGCAGGTAAGTTAAGATGATACGCTGCCAAACACAGTTTACAAAGTTTACAAGAAGAAAGGGGGGTGGTAACCCAAACTGAAAAGATCTGGATCTGCACCCGAATTTCCCCCTTTCTTACCTCAGGCATATGTAAGCCAAGAAGTATATAAAAAACAAATGGTTGGTTTAAATCCTCTCGAAAATACACTGTTCCCTCTCTTCTCTGTGATTTTAGAGATACCTTTTCAACATGAAAGCAGGGATGAATGGCAGGGTTCATATGGTGGTGTTCCTGCTTCCCACAGAATGCCACTTGATGGCCTCCCACTCTCTTGCTATGAAAGTGTGCCGTTAGGACAAGCAGCAGACCCATACTTTCAGAGAAGAAACTGAAATTTGACACTAGCAATGTTGCACAAATGCTGGTATTGTTGGAAGGCTTCCTATAGAAGTTCAAATTGAACATTAGGCTATGCAAACCTCAAGGAAATATTCACAGAGATGCCTACTGTTTTTAGACAGCATTTGAGACAACCAATATAATAAATGGGTGAGGCAGCACATAAGAACAGTGGGAAGAGAGAGCAGACAATGAGACAGCACATGGATTTATGGACTGGCAACAAAGCATAATCATCTTGGAAAAATGCATGGTAAATGAACTGCAAGCTGTAGGGACTTTACAAAGTGATATGGCAGAAAAATGACCAATGTGACTAGTAAATGCACACAGAGTCCTCGTTCAAAGACCACTGCTCATGCACGACAGTGAATTCTGTGGTAATGGCATCTCTAATAGATTGCAAATGGGTCAGACTGAATACTGGAACATTTTAATTCACTTTTGAAGATATAGGAACCAGGAAGATCTATAGAGAGTTTGAGACAGAACAGTGTCAAAAGTGTGTTGGAGAGATCTGAAAATAATACAAAGGTAGCAAGACATTTATACAGTGGCTGGTCAGTAGCACTGATTATCTGGAGATCAGTTTGTGTACATATAGTAATCTACAATTACTATATGTAGTAATACCATTTGTGTACATATAGTAATCTACAAAGAAAGTATGGAAGAGCAGGGAACCCTAAGTGCTTCTCAAGCTCTCCTCTCCCACTCTGAGAGTAAAATCTAAAAGATTTAAATTCAGAGTTCCTTTGACTACATAGGGCTGATGTCAGGTTAGAGGGTGGGCTAGAGACTACGTTAAATGTGAACAAGCCTTCCACAAGCAAGCAGTTTTCATCAGCCCACAAAGGAATATGCCATCACACCCACAGAGAAGCTGATATACTGCTGCAGTACTACTACTACTACTATACTAGTGATTTCTCAGTACAGAACAAAATGGCATTATGTATTTTGGTTGATTTAAAGCTTCTTGAAAACCAAGGTCTTTTTGTTAACATCTGTGACTCCTTGTAAAATGATGAAATGGAAACCCATTATACATCAGACAAATTCAACCAACTATGTCTCCCACAGACGAATCTCCTTTCCTTCTTTAAATTCTCTTGTGCTGTACAGTTATGGTCCAAATTACAGCAACTGATGACAGCTACATCACAGAACATGGGGCTACTCAGATACACAACTGCGTTGTCTGGGGTTTTTTTCTGCCAGTATCTTCACTGTCTGCCACACTTTAGGTTGAAAGGTGCTTCAAACTGTGTATCATATTGTTTCAGTAGCAACATACAAAGCAATGGGATGTGAATTGTGTTTCAAATTTTAAAATGCTATAATAGAGAGATGTTACATGTGCTCATGATGTAGAAAGCTGCAAGACAGGTACGTAGCCAGCACACTGACTTTGTGAGACGATATGTTCACGCTGTTGAGCTAATTCATATTAGCCTGTTTTCCATCAATCACATTTCTATCACTTGTTTCTCTCTAGGTCTGATTGTGGACATGGCTGGAGACTACAGAGCAGGCTTCTACATGGCAGGAGCCACTCTCATCCTATCAGCTGGATTTTTAGTTACTTTAGATCAACTCCAACAGAGAAAAGAAAGAGAAAGCCAGACTAGTACTAAACCAGAAAAGTCAACATTATCCTACCCTTCCCTCCATCTCCTGAAACACAAAAACAGAAGCTATTGAGAACACAGTGTAGTGGTGTGACTACACTGGACCTCGGACAGCATTTCAGGACACATAGAAGTGTTTTATTTTAGCAAAATTCCCTATTAGTAGGATTTACAAAACAACAGAAGTTTTGGGTAGGAATGTTTGAAACTAAGGAAGAAAGTAAGTAGTTTACAAGCAAACTAAAGCAGTAACCATTATCGTATTATTTTGCTGAAGTTGCATTTCGACTATACAGGTCGTCAGTACAGTCCCACAGGGTCATGCTAAGTGAATTAGGGAAACTATGGTCTAAATTAAATTGCCATGAAGTGTCTACGCAGCAGATAGAAACCCTACTCCCAAATGCAGACTGCAGCTGTCACTATCAAACAGGAAGAGGCATCACCTCACAGATGTTTAGCTTCGGGAAGTAGTGTTCAGTATTTTCAGTAAACAAGTTGGATGTGAAAGCATGAGTACCTGAATAGAGTTTTGAGCTAAAGATTTGCAGGTACTCTACAAAGCAGGGCTGGAATCAGATAAATAAATAAACCTGATAAATGGGAAAAGGTACATAAGTGATAGAAAACAGTAGAGAGAAATACAGTATTAAATATCAGAAGTAAAAAGCAAAATACATCCACATAAAATGAAGAAGGATTGATGAATAGTAGAAGAAGACCTATGGCTACAGTGGCCTTCAAAATGAGTAAGAATCCCAAATGCAACCTTGCATTAAAAGTACTAAATGTTCTGTGTTATTGGTAAGATAGAAGAGATAATGATGCTTGCAAGGCTTTAACTGGAAGAAGTACGTAAGTTGCAAAGAATTAAGTGGAAAAAATTGAGAAAATTAAGAAAACATAACCTAAGGAAAAAGTGTAAGAAATAAAATTTTTCTGGTTTAGAAGACAAAAGTATTTACAGGGCACAAGAACAGCCTTCAAATCCATAATAGGCTGACATAAAAAGACACTGTAGACTGTTAAGCATGGAAGCAGACTACAGGGAGAATACGAAAACAGAGAGATATCAGAGAATAGGTAAGACATGAGCAAGAATCTAAATATATTTGATTGCACTTCAAAGTAGTATGATGGACTAGTTGACTTCCCTTTAGTCTCACATTCCAACTATCCTGAGGCAAATACTTTCAGTAAATACTCTTTGAGAATGAAAGAGAGTC